ACTGAGCCGTTATTCAGTAGAATATATAAACTGGGCACTTATTTGTTGATATTCACAGATTTTAAAAGGTAATTTGATTTCATCTATATTTCTGAGAAGTCTGGGAGCGTACACAATTATTATCTTAGCATGCTTCCTTGTTTTTTTGCTTTAGTTATTCTATTAACACTAACATGTGCCATATTTTTTATTAATTCAGAGAACAATCCAAGTTCCAAATGATCTAGGAACATATTTTTAACCAAGTGAAAAAGAAATCTGCCTGATCATTTAATCCAGAATTGTTACTCTACTGACCAGCTTCCATTCTTCATCACATGGTATACATTACCACAAACTACTAACTTATATTTACACACAGGGTCCAGCAGAAGTAGGGCCTGATTGAGTGTGGTTGGTAGGGCAATAATATGGGTGTAATAATTTATAGTTTTTATATAAACATTTCACTTAAAATGCCATATGGTGTGCTTAAGTGTGAAATTGTTATATTACAGAATTACATACTTATGATGATTTTGTAACAAAAAAGGGGTGTTATTTGTGCCGGACCTGTAGAACTTACTTCCTAAGTAGACTGCATATTCCTTGCCATCAAGAACAGTGCTTTAGAGTTGAGGGTATGGTGAATATTTTGACAATAGAGTGTGAGATCAAAATTCCTTTAAAGTAAGCTTCCAATCTATCAGGCTTGCAAAAGGTTTAATTTCAGTTATCAGGGCTCTCTCCTGGGCATCCTCTAGGTCTCAGAAGAACTCTCTTGTTTAACCTCCATGTCACCAACCTCACAGGCTTTTGTTGGTGCCCTGTTCTCTGTGTTCTATGGCCACGTTGGGAAGGGAAACATAAGCCATGTTTATTGTTTTCAGTATCCATGCCTGCCTGCCATTGTATTCACATCCCAAAGCAATTCTCCAAGTTAGGGTGTTATGTGCAAACTACTCTGATCTCTGCCCCTCTCTTCATTTTTGGGAAAGCGCTCCCTCAGGACCTGCCACTTGAGCTTTTGAAACTTCAAAGCACTAGTTCCCAACCTCTTTTCCTCCCCGAAAACCTAGCATAGACTTCCCAAAGGAGAGCCAAGAAGAAAGGTGGAATTGTCGTCTTCTAGCTTCTGACCACTTTGGGGGTGGAAGAAGGAAAAACAAAATAGGAATAAGTGAGGTGCTGTGCCAATTATAAAGATGTCTCTGCATTCCACTACTGCCAGTCACTTAGCAGTGTTCTGTGTGCCTTTTTTATAGTAAGTGATCAACAAATACTTAATTAATAAGAAGCTATTAATAATTTCCTGTTTAAATTACTTATTTTGCATTATAGGATGATATTTGGTTTTTTAGACATTTTAAGAATGATATATAACTTGTTAGGCATTCATCTTTATTTTCTTCAAAAAATGCCCTTAATTACCCAACTTGTTTACATCTGGAATCTTGGAGTTTCTTGACTTGAGTGCACAGATATTAAAATAATACAATGATTTTACGTAGCAAAACAATGGAAAACATCCAGGGAGAAAATCAAGGTTTCTGCATCAACAACTGTCTTTTGAAAGCATTGCATATTTTATAACGCTCTCCATTTTCTATTTAGATAATTTAAATGTGAGATTTGTGATCATATATTTTGTCAACCTAGCTAATCAATAATAATATATTGTTAATTCTAAAATTGAAATGTACAAATAAATTTCACGAAAAGAGTTTACAGTTGCAGTGTTGCATTTACTGTAATACCATATAATAAAATATGTATTTCCATTTATTATTCATAATAGAATACTGTCACATATTTGATATGGATTAAAGCATTAAAACATCAAATAAAAAAATAAATATGCTGTTTATGGTTTCACTCCCAGGATCCTGATTCCAAAGGCATATTTTATTGTGAGGACAGCATCTTAACTGTGTGAGATATCATGTAAGGGGAATACAAATTGAAAAAAAAGGGCATTAAGGTTTGATTTTAAGAGACAGTTCAGTAGAGCATTGCAGAAGGTTATAGAGCAAGGAGATTTTCAGGGAGTGGGAGTAATGAGTGTGGCTCCTTTCTCTCTCCCGTCCCCTTTCCTACCTCTCTTCCTTTCTTCTTTCTTTTATAATCTCTGCTACTAAAAGCAAAGAAAGGAGCACCCTGGGAAATGAGTTGGACAGATTGACAGGGACTTGGGTTGGACTACCATTGCATACCATAATTTATAATTATCTTACTTTGTAGACAATTTTTGTCTACTTTGGGTTAATTTTATTCTCATTCATGCGTTCCTATCTACTGGATATTATATGCTCTATTTCAATTTTTGTTTTTGATGGCTCTCTAACTAAAATTTTATTTTCAGTCACCTATATAAAAGTTAAAACACGTTCTTGGTCACAGAACCTCAGTGAATGTCAATTTACTGTTTGGTAGAAGGGAGGTGGCATTTTCAGAAATAGTAATAATATATGGTAACTAAAAACAAAGTAGTCTATGATTAACAAAATGAAATGCTATTAGATGGCAAGTTAGATTAAATATTAGATTTAATATTAGTTTAGTTTAATTTAATAAAGTTAGGTTTCATCTCAGTGGTCAGTGCTCTGCACACGTATACTGTATAAAAGGTTTCCTGAAATGGATGGCTTTTTGATTGGGCCCCAGAGGATGGCTATAAGTCTTATATTTGAATTTAGCAAAGAGACTTTGAATTTCAAACTACTATACCCTAGTACAATATAAAGCATATACTGTCAGGAATTGTCAAACCCCTTTGCTGGCCTACCATCTGTTTCAGTTATAAAGTTTTATTGGAACATTGTCACATTTATTATTATGTATATTATCTATTTATAGCAGTAGAGTTGAAACAGAGATTATGTGGCCTGCAAGTGCTAAAATATTTACAATCTGGCCTCTTACCATAAAGTTTGCCAACAGCCATATTAAATCATGTTATGTATTACAAAATAAGTTTACAGGGAAGCTTTCTTTAGCCTAGCTCTCTCCTTCTCATTTATACTTACTTAAGTAGATTTGATTTGGTGGTTCTAACAATAAATATTTATTCATGGACTTCCTCTATGCTTAGAGTTTATTTCAGTTTCTTTGATTTGAGATATTTCTTACTCCCACTCCTTAATAATTATTTTCTTTAATAGAAGCTTTAAGATTTTCAGTGCTATTTTGTATGATTACTTTTGAAATAGATATTCATGGTTTCCTTTTATCAACTTTATCCTAGATTAATATTGTTTACACTAAAAATAAAATGTATCAAATAACTTCAATAAATTGATCAAATATTCTTGCATTTATTAACCTATCACTATATCCTTCCATGAACTGAAATTAGCTAGTCTTTCAATTGGAAAGGTTTCAGATTCTAAACTACTTTATGTGCTAATGCAAGTATATTTGCTTTAAGTAGGGGAATTAAATAGGACAAGAAGTATCAATGGGCAAAGCAGGAAAGGGATTTCAGAATTTTAAAAGCAATCTGTAAATTTCTGCTCAAAGGCTATTGATGTTAAAAGGAAAATGTAATGAAATCCCAGCACTTCAATGGCAGACTTAACTCACTTGGTTCTGTTTCCAGGGAGTACCAGGTCCCCACAGGTACGTTAGATGCGGTGCATCAAGCTAACTGCCTGAATTACCAATAGCATGTGTGTGCTTTGTGTCCAGGGGGATACTCACATCCAGCACACCAGCTCAGATACACAGATACATTTGATTAGCCGCTTCCCAGGAGCTTCTCTGTTGATGTAAAGGCCAATGAGTGTTGTCTAGGCCTAGGGAGACTCTCAGTTCTCATTTATATAACTAAGGCATTCTTTCACTGGGGAGTCACTGGATATCCTAATGTTCTATACAGAACAGCTAATGGCTTTCTACTTCTAGCAACTTAAAATTGAGGGATTTGGACTGATGGGGAGAGGAGGAAGCTTGTATCATATTAATTGTGAATATTCTTTTTTTAATGTGAATAATTCTTATTCTCTATTTACTCATTTTTACAGAGAGGGGAAGGGAGGAAGAGAGGGAGAGGAACATCAGTGTGTGGTTGCCTCTCATACCCCCTACTGGGGACCTGGCTCACAACCCAGTCATGTGCCCTGCCTGGGAATCGAACAAGTGACCCTTTGGTTTGCAGGCAAATCCAGTCTGCCATACCAGCTGGGGCACAAATGTGAATATTCTTATGGGAGATCATTTGCCTCAGTGACTTTGGTTGTCCCACAATAAAGAATATTAGCAACCCCCATACATTTAACCTCAGGGAGATCCAAGCAAAAGTGGGGTATATAAAAATCTGAATATGTACAAGGTGTGATTTAGAACTTTTAATGTGACTTGGAAGAAATAGGAAGCTCAGCTATAATGTATAAGCTATCATTCTCTATGTTGTATGAAATACTTGATGCAAAATAAATGGTCTTCAGGAATGGGATGAAGGATTTTGTGGAAGACAGATTGCCTAGCAACATAGTTTAAAACAGTCTTTTTCCAACTATGGATCATGCATAAATAGTGGGTCATGGAATCAATTTACTATGACAGAGTTTTTAAAAATAGTAATCAGTATTAAACTTAGAGTAAGATAGAAAATATCAGAGTACATCATATATAGTTAGGCTAAGTATTTTGTATAATTTTTGCTTCAGTTATATACACACATGAGTGGAAAGTGTTGAGACCTAGTTGAAATACTGTCTAAAAGAAACAAAGACATGGAGTCGATACATGAATTCCACTGTTAGAAACAAAAAAGTGATTACATAGAGTCTCCTTACATCTGTCTGGTTCAATGCTAGTAAGCAAAACTGAGCCTAATAGAATACATGCTAATACATTTCTTACCTTTGTAGATAAGATTACTAGGGGAACTTGTTTTGTATGTTTTGCTTTAGTTCAAATAGCTATGCTTTTCTTCTGTTAGAAAAAAATGTTTTTTGTCTTCCATTTTACTTAGTTGTCTTTTATTTTACTTAGTTTGTGACCATTCTCTCTTTTGCCAGGAGATTGCATCAACAATTTGAAAGCTATAAGGAACAAGTGAGAAAAATAGGGGAAGAAGCACGGCGTTACCAGGGCGAGCACAAAGACGATGCTCCGACTTGTGGAATCTGTCATAAAACAAAGTTTGCTGATGGGTGTGGCCATCTCTGCTCCTACTGCCGCACCAAATTCTGCGCCCGCTGTGGAGGCCGTGTGTCTCTGCGATCCAATAATGTGAGTATTCTGGGGGAGTGGGAGAAATTCTGAATGCAAATACCGATTTGTACACTTCCCAAGCAGAAATAGCACATGCATGGGAGAGAGCGGATACATGTGTACATGTGCACCGTAATAGGCCCCTCCCCATTTTGCTCTTTTGCTTTTCATAGGGTCCATAGCAGTGGAGTAGTGATGAAAATAATTCATAAAAAGATAGTTTCTGTAGGTACGTATCTTAATAAATGATTCCCATTCAAAACCAACCGATTTATCTGTAGGCGTAAATTTATTATCTGAAGAATGAAGTAAATGTAGATGTAGTATCAAGAGTTGTAAATCTCTTGGAAGTTGCTATGGCAGTTCTTGTGAAAAACAAAATAAAACAAACTCCTTCTTTAGTTTCTGCAACATTGCCCTCAGATTGAATGAAGGTAAAATACAAAGTAAACTGTGTGGCATTAAATTTAACCCAAGATAATAATATATATAAAACTGTGACAGGATAGTAAGAAACTAGGAAGCTGGGCAAGTGGAATGGGAAAATTGAGACAGGAATATTAAACAAGGCCAAACAATTTGAGCAACTTACAGCCAGCTAGTGAATCTCAAGAACTCTCCGCTAACCAAGGACACTTGAGAGCAAATGGTTTATACCCCTCTTCCCTAACCAAAGAATACATAGCTTAAATCTCCCTTGTCTGGGGAAATAGAGAACAAAGACAGAATTAATGACATTTGTGCCAGCTAAACTTAAGGACAGATCAAATCAGGGGAACAAATAACAAAAACAAACAAACAAAACCATTAAAGACAAACAGACCCAAGATAAAACTAAAACAGTATAGCAACCAAAGAATATTCCCAAACCTCCTTATGTGCTCATTTTGGCACATCATCATATTAAAAATGCACTTGGAATAATGATGAATATTCTGCTAAAACCCTCCCCTAAGATTCTCACCCACAGAAAATAGATAAAAAGCCTTCAGGACAAAGATTCAGGGGCGGATCGCTCTACAGAACGCCCATGCCCCTTCCAGGTCATGAACATTTTTTAAATTCTTCTTAAATTCTAAGGGTCCTCAGGGAACTTGCAACAAGGGGAAGAGTGGGCAGTGGCATCTTGGCCTGGGCTTACCCCCTAAACCTGTCCCCAAGGCCCCCTTATCTCTGACTTCCCATTGAGATAACAGTAGCGCTGCCTTAGCTCACTCCTTTCCTATAAATTTCTTGGGGAGCCAAAGCAGATCATTGCCTAGGTCCTCCTGTTACTTCGTCTACCATAAGTCATTCCTCATTTCACTGTCCCCTGCCTTAATAAGCATCCTCGCAAAATCATCTGAACTTGTGCTGTGAAATCTTTCCTACGTACAGTCAAGAACTCCCACACTACGAACCGGCCTGAGGCACACCTGCTCCGGGCAGGTCCCCAAGTAACTAAACCATGATTAGCCTCTGTGAGAATAATTTCATATCATGTTAAAGAAACACAGTGATAAGTTTAACACATGGAAATTATTCAGATTTTTAAAGAGTATGTTAAAATACATTTTTTAAAATTGGGTGCTTTTGACTTATTTTTTCTCTGTAAGATGTAGTCTCACTTGATGTAGTTTACTTAGTCAACTTAAATAACAACTACCCTTCCATAAAGCCAGTGCTGTAAATATATTTAAATTTTTAAGGCATTAGTATGCTAATAGAAAGGATTCAATATTATAATTTGTGGAATACTAGATTAATTTCAGTAAATATTTAGTTTAGAGCACATTTTAATGTCATGCTGTATTATATTCCCAATGTTAGTACAGGAATGTCTGTGTGAGTTCTCTTTGATATAGGTCTGCAGTGTAATATAGAAGTTAACATTATCATATACTTAAATAATTCCCATTGTTTGCTTAAAGAATTTTACATATTATCTAATCATATATAGACATTAACTTAATTCAAAGTTATATTTAAAAATAGCAAGAGTGATAGAAGCACTCTTGATATCTTCCTAACTTGGAAAATCACAGTTAAAATTAAAATGAACATCCCAATCAACACTGTATTCTTTGGTAGTGTATTTGAGTTATAAGTAGGTTATTCTAAAATATTCTTCAGTAGAATTAAGGCATTCAGTAAAATAGATATGTTATTATACTTTAAGGTGAGCATACTATTGTCTTTGTGGCCTTGGAAAGATAATTATGTTCTCTAAACAACAGCTTCTTTACCTATGTACCTGGATAGAGATAATTACTCTATGTGTTGTGATGAGAATTCAATTAAAATAATAAAAATTAGTTCTTTATGAAATGTGTTTTTTGAGGTTATATTCTCATGGCCACATGAGTTTTCTTTTTTTTTCTCCAACAGTGATTAGTTTTAATTAATCCTTGTATGTCCCCTGAAAGCCTTTCTAGAATAACCTTGGGTTAAGGTATTTTCTGGCACATAAAAAGTGCACAAGACATATTTGATAATTTTCCCTTATTTAGTATTCTTAAGCATACTGCTTGGAATGAATTCTCACAAATGAGACCTGGGAATGATATTCTAGGGTGCACATTGGCTGAATGTCAATGCTGGTGGAGTGCCCATAGCACAATGTGTTTAACTTCCCATTATAAGTTTGAGGCAAACTAATAAAAATATAGTTAATCATTGATATATTAAAATTATTAGAGTCAAACTCATGTTTTTAAAAGGAGAGGTGTTAAAGGAAATTGAGCTAGGAGGCAATGCTTTGGAAGAGATACTCTGTCCTAATGTAGTTCATTCACTTTAACTAAAGCCAATCCAATTTTGGAAAAAAATACTCAGAAGAACAAAGTAAAAGAAACACAACTTGGAATATTTAATCTTGAGCATAAGACAAAACAATGTACAAAGTTATTTTTGTATAACAGTTAAATGTTGAAATGTATATTACCAATAAATGTTGCTTGTGAAGTGATTTATGGTTAAAAAGTTAATGTATTCTTTTACTTATTAAAAACATTTTCCATTCTTCGATTTTTTCAATTTGTAACTATAAATATTTTAACAGTAATTTGATAAAATTATTCATACAAGTTATAGGCACTTTAATATATCTTTTAATAATAGGTAGAGTGAATATGGCAGTGAATTAAGTTTTCTAAATGGAGAATGATGTAAATTTACATTTAATAATACAAAGTCTAAAAAATTTTAAAAATCATAATGCCCAACTTTTGTTTCTAACATATAGCAGAATTCATATATATGCATTTGTAATGAAAGATTGAACAATGATTATTTGGGGAAAGAATAAAATTTACTTTTCAGTGAACCTGTGTTTTAACACTTTAAAGTGACATATAATTGTTTTTCTGATAAATCTATTTATTAACATATGCCTTATTTTTGTTTTCCTTTTTTTCCTCTCTCTTTACTCTGCTTCCTTGGATGCTTTCCCAAAGGAGGACAAAGTGGTTAGAATCCATGATTTCTTTTCTATCATTTGTTATATAATGTTGTGAACTTTATTAAGTGAATGTTTCACCTAGTATTGGTAATCACTATATTTCAAAAAGAAAGTATATGCTAAGAAAAGCTCATTCCCAGTTCTCATGGAAAAAAAAATAATAAAATGAACATCTAGAAACATTACAAAGTTTTATATTAATAGGTAAAGTCTAGATAGTTTCAGCTTACGGGAATGGTAATATTTCAATATAATTTGAATCATTATGAACTTACATGTCCTCTTAACTCTCTGAGTTTTGAGGATGATTCCATCTGATGTCAGGAATATTAAGTCCAAGAGACTCTACTTTTCTCAGTATGCAGTGGATTCATAGGCAGATAATTTAAAACTTTACTGCAGTAGGAATGGGTTGCACTAATTTAGTAAAGAGAATGGAAATAATTAAAATCAAGAGCTCAAAATAATGATTTTTCTATAGAACACAAGCAACAGAGTTGTCATGTTAAACCACACTATATCCTTCTCCCTCATACATAGAAATCATACCTTACAGGAGTGAAAGGTCACTTTTAACTCTTATCAGCTATAGAAACCACAGAGACTGCACTCTGGAAGATAAGATCCAAGTGGAACCTCCAGTCAGCTTGTCCTGTGTGCGCACATCATGCACTTACATTTGGTGTAAATTACAATTTCTCTATAGCTCATTGATTTCCCAGTATGAGACTGAGACCATTAGTATTTTGGGTTCAGTATATCAACTTAGCTGCCTTTGTTCAACTGTTTTAAAGTTTAAATGATGTATTGCAGTGCATAAGTGGCAAGCATGGCATTCAACTGAACATTAAGTGTGTTTTAAACTTGATGCTAGTATATGTTAATTTTTTTTCTATGAAAAAGAAATCAGGTTGAAAATTATATACAGTAGTTGGTTTTCACTAAATGTGTTTACTTTTACCATTAGTGGTATATGAGGTCATTTTGGGGATTATTATTTTAATGTAAAATGTACTGTATTAGAAAAATATAACTAAAATGTCACACCTTTGGTTTGATGGATGTTATTACTTTGGATGAGTCTACTTTAAAAGTAGATAATTTTAAATTCCTTTAAAAAGTTAAAGTTTAGGTAAATAATAGTGCTAGTGTTAAAACTTCAGCTATTCTTGTAGGATGGGCCAGCCTATTGTCCCTTCTAGAGCACTTCCCAATAATGGGAGGTTATTTATGCTTATTATGATTACAAGCAGTGCAGAGAGAATTCAGGTAGACTTTGTGGCTCTCAGGCTAAGAATAGGGTGGAAAGACCGCTAAAATACTATCGCTTTCAATTATTTTCTTCTCTTCATTAGAATGCATATATCAACCATTTATTTTTAAGTACTTTGTCATATGTAATAATTTCATTAAAAAAACATTTTAGCCTATTGAGGTTGTTCAATGAATTGCCTTTTTCATCCAGGGAAACTGAAACCAGTTCTTATAAGAGAAATTAGAATTTACGGAGAGGGTTGTGTGCATGTGTGTGTGTGTATGTGTGTGTGTGTGTGTGTGTGTCTGTGTTGGTATGAGTGGAAAGGAAAGAGAATAAGGGTAAATGAAACTTTTCTAACAGCAGTCTCCTTTTTAATTAATATCCTACTAAAGAATTCTTAGTCTTAAACTGGTGAATAAATGTGACTGAAATACTAGTGTATATGATATAAAGATCTCAGCATGACTAACATATAAATATTCCTTTTATTTAGTCCAAAAAAATATTATTGATCACATAGTTTGCATCCTGGCAGTATTTTATTTTAAAACAAGCCTTAACTGAATTCAAATTTTTTAGTGTCTTGGAAGATTGTGTACTTATGAAAAAAGTGACTATGATAAAGAGTCACTTTGCATTTGACATATGCAATAGCTTATAATAGGAGATTATTTTATACCAGTGTATATTCTCACAGGTAAATTTATGATTATTTACTTCATTGAAAGTCCTCTCCTATGCCTAAATATACAGAGATAATGCAAAATTCTCCACAGCCAGTTTAAATTGCTTTTGTCTTTGTTTTATCCTCTCTCTAGTGCCAGAGTACTGAATTTAGATAACTCCTTTGATAACATTAACACTTTGCTGTTGTAAACCAGCTAAATGGACTACTCCAGATCCAGTCTCTACTAATTATCATCAGTACTTTTTTGGGGGGACAGGGGGGTGCTGATTGATTTGTGAATAAAACAACTAAAAATGAACTTGCTACATTTCTAGTTCATCTTTATTTTCACAAAAAAAGTCAGGTTTTATAGGTTAAGAATATTTGTAATAAATGTCAAAAGTACTCTGAAAAATAGAACCCTACCTAATTTTTTATTCTTTCAAGAATGTGAAAGCTGCACATACCTACATTTAAACATGTGTAAAAATACCTTTTTATATCAAGATAATAACTAATGACTCATGATTTTTTCAAACTGGTTCCCCATGGATTTTAATTGTTGTTTCTTTTTAGAAATTATGCTTACTGACATGTTGATGAAGCAAGCATGTTTTTGTACAAAAAGCTCCTAAAAGATAAAGATTGGGAGAGATGAGACAGTGTTGAGTTTTTAACTGGCCTTATCATAAGGTGTTATCTATGGTATGATTGATTCTTAACAACAAAGAATTTCACCCTTATAGACTTTTCTCTTAAATACCAGAGTGATGATTTTTTTTTAAATCCCTTTCTAGGGTTAGATAAAGACAAGCAAGTCAGCAGACTCATAACCCTTTTTTAAAATGATTTGCATGATTGCATTAAATATTTATTCTTATTATGACAAGTCTTCTTGGAGTTACCCATATTTAGTCCATGGCGTGATGAAGCATACAATCATAATTTTCAACCTTTGGTCTTTTAAAAAAAGCAACTGTAAATGTTTGCCTGGACCCACTTTCATGTTCTCTTTTAATTTTTCTAGATTCTTTGACAATGGATTCCTTCACAAAAATGTTCTGTTAAGAGTCTTTCCAGGAATATAATATAGACCTAAGTAGGAAAGTTTATAAATATAGATTAAAATATCAATAAGGAAATGTTAGGAAGGGTCAAGGGGAGAACATTCTCTAAGCTATTTAATAGTTTAGTTTTCTCAAGGTGTCTTCTCATTTTGTTGTGCTTGTCGTAGAGGGGAGTAAAACGTCAAGTTGTAAAATCTTTTATATTAGGTAATTCAGAAAGTTGTAAATTTTTATTCCGAATCTGTTTTAGGAATTTGCTACACTGTTTTTCAAGGACATGGGATTTTAATCTCTTGCATTTAGTATCACTGTTCTCAAATTTTTGCTAATACTCAGTAATTATTAGGAAGCGTATGATTTGCCTCCATCCACAAATCATTGTTTATACACTTGAAAAATCTGTTTCTGGGAATTACAGTTTTACAAACCAATGTTAAATATGGATGTACAGTAGCACTAAGGGTGTTGTGGCAGGGTATAGAAAAATAGCCTCTTCTAGTATAAGGAAGTTTTCACAATGCAAAAGATGAAACCATGGTCGAACTCCCTGTTTTCCTGTGAATGTCTCTTCTTTGTATACAAAGGAGTAGGTTTTAAGGATCATATAATAACTCTATAGTTAACATTTTGATGAACTGATGAAGTGTTTTCCCAAGCAGCTGCACAGCAGTGTTTGAGGGTTTTGATTTCTCCACATTCCTGTCAATATGTCTGCCTTTTTTTCCCATAGTCATCAAGTTTCATGTGAAATAAAATGGTATCTCACTGTGTTTTTCATAAAGCTGATTTTAAAAGTATGATATTTCCAAGGATTCCCTGTGATTGTGTGCATTTAGGTTCTTGCATAAAAATGCTTCTAAGTCAGCAATCTCTTGAGAATAGATTTTTCTTAAAAGGCAAGCATATTCAAAGTATTAGAAGTTCAGTTTCTTTCTTCTCTGGGGATTCTTTATTTTCCTTATGTTTGAATTATGTAAAAACTTACTAATCTATTTAAATCAATCAGAACAGGAGTTCTGTTAAATTGAGTTTCCTTGTTATCTCTTATATGTCTGTCAAGACTACCTATCCCTATGGTGCACACAAAATAAGAGGGTTTCTTTTGTTGTTGCCAATTGAAAAGACTCTTTTTTTGATACAAGCAGTGAGAGCTTGCAGCTTCGGTTTGCCACTCAGCCATAGGTCCAAAATTAACACAGAAACTCTAGCCCAGACTTTAAAATGATGTTCTTGCATTGTGCATGGGACATTTTCTTGAGTGATGTGAACTTTAAGTAGCATGCAAAAACAGACACACATAAAGACTAACAATCAGATTTTCTGTACTCTGCTACCCACCTTTCAATATATCCCTGAAGTCTGACATCCAACACATTTCATTACTAGATAGATCCCTTATTACTGCTGCCACTAGTTGGGAATATTTTATTAGTCACAAGCAAAACCTATTTTGTCTGATATTAATATAGCTACTTCAGTTCTCTTATGGTTGTAATTACATTGTATATCCTTTTTCATCCTTTTAAATTCATCCTATTTTTATCTTGAATCTAAAGTATATCTTGTGTAGACAGTACATACTTAGATCTTTTTAAAAAAAAATCCAGCCTGACAATATTTGCCTGTTGATTGCATTTTTAATCCATTTATATTTATTGTTATTTTTGATAGGATTTTATTTGCGTCTCCTATTTTATTTTGTTTTCTATATCTCATATTTTGTTCCTCTCTTCCTCCTCTACTGCTTTTTCACTTTACATTAAACAGTATTTCCTAGTGATATTTTATTTATTTCAGGAATTTTTTTACTGTACTTTTTAGTATTTTTTCTTAGTGGCTCTAGGGTTTCCAGAATATATCTTAAATTAGCAGAATCTATTTTACATTTACACTACCTTAATCCAGTGAAACCTATAAATGATAACTCTACAGAGCTTTATTTACACTTTCCTCTTTTTGTGCTATTATTTTATTTTTTAGTATACTTTATTGATTCTGCTATTACAGTTGTCAAACTTTTTCTCCCCTTTATCCCCCTCTGCCCTGCACCTCTCTCCCTCCAGCTTCCCCCACCTTAGTTCATGTCCATGGTTGTACATAG